TTGAAAACCAGTTCACAATCGTCATGATCAACTTCTACTTCTCAGAAGGATTAGCAAAAGTCTGTTGTGGCAAAAACATAGTCACAGTCATTTCCTGCTTCTGCAATGACCTGGAACGCCATTGCGCCACCGGAAAACGCCGTTGGTTTCGTTAACAGGAAATGTCAAAATCAACGCTGCCAAATATCAGCAGCAAATTTAACGGCGCGTACTGGAACCTTGGAGCACTCATCACTTCGGCGCAACAGACTATAACTTTGTCAGCAGGACAGAGATCTTGCGCATTGATTTGTTAAAGAAGTGGCATCTATTAAAAAGTACTTACCAGGCTTCTAGCGCAGGGACATTACAATCAAATTCGCCTCGTCTCAACCTAATGTGATTATACCGAGCGGTCCATACTGAAGTAAAGAGTCTCGGCTGCTCGTTACGCTAGCACAGATGCTTTCAAAACGGCATTGGCACACGCTTGGGACGAAATTACTTTGGGAACATGTGCGAGCATCTTGTGCAAATCAACACTGCGATTCGATGGTCTTCACGATCCTAACTTGAGTAAACTGAAGATACACAAATAAGTAAATTAGATTTTCGACCAAAAATGAACACGAGGAATCAATAAAGTTATCAGCATTAATGAAAAAGTGCATATCAATATTGAAATTAACAAAATGAAAACTGTCAGAGTTTCCTTGCACACTGTACATATAATATTTGTCAGCGCAACTGGATTCATGTTGATATCGACTCCTGGTCAGACTGTTGGACGGTTGGTTTCTGACAAATTGATGCGTTGTAGCGTGGAAGGAAGGTGGGCAAACAGGTGCAAGTGGCAACGGGTTGTAATGTTCTCACATGGGCATCACAGATGGTCCTCCGTTGGGAGATCCCACCCTGTTAGTCGCGAGGGCACGTGGCGGGTGCCCAAGTGGCGGGTAGGAGAAATTCAACACGAACCAAAAAAACCGCGTGCTTAGCAGAGAAGCAGGTGGATTAAGAAGATGAGCTCCCTGCCTCTGCAGCGCCGATTTGACAGAACAGTACTTCTAATAGTCAAGTCGGATAAATACCTGCAATCAAGCGTCTGGGACGTACATGGAAGGCGCTTAGGAGTCGTCTAACAAATAGGCTCCTCCTGCTCCTTTGAGAGAGACCGACAAGCAGCTCGTGAGAGACCAGCCCACACGTTGAGAACCTAGCAAGATATACGTTTTGCATCAAAATGCTAAAAACGGCAACAATATGGGCCCAATCATCCTGACAACGGAAGAGCCGCCGGTATCGACAGCGCCGGATAGAACGAGTTCGAAGAAGATGCTGAAATCTCGGAACGAACTACGCTGAAAAAATCGAAACGGACTAAAATGACGACCTGTACATACAATGCAAAAACACTTGCTCACCAATCCACTGTAGAAGATCGATTGACTTCAAGCAAGAAGAATAAGGTACGACGTCATTGGCATAGCTGAGACGAGATGGACACCATCCTTTTCACGCTATTTATGGTCACCCGGAAGAAATGTTCTCAGAACTGTTTCTCAGAACACGATGCGATCGCAGAGCTGTCGGCGGCGCTGGCGCCCTCGTCAAAGCGAATTGACTGTGAACATCGATTCATTTAAATAACTAGCAACCCGTTTAGGGCGAGTGCGGTTGAAGAGATGTGGATGAATGAGGCTTTGATCATCTCCGTTGCTTACGCACCAACATCAAGCTATGACGAAGACGAAGTCGAAGCGTTTTATATGGACCTCGGAAAATTTTTCAGAGAAGATATATTTATCTAAAGGTTATTGCCGGAGATTTTAGCGCAAAAACTGGACCTAGAAGAACGTCGAAGGAACGCCACATTGGGACTTACGGACTAGAATGAAATGAGCAGGGTGAGAGGGTTATCTGAGTTTATCATGACGACCCAAACCACCCATGGTAATTTACAATTGCTAAAGCCTCACCCTTAACGGTGAAAGTGGGAGTTTTCCAATGGAGAGTGCCATAACGAAACAGACCACGTCTTAGTAAATCAAAAGCTTTGCCTGACAGATGTCCCTGTTGTTCCTAAGTTATACACGGGATCAGACCATCGCCTTCTCCGCGCAACGCTCCGTTTTTCGCTGAAGGACAGAAAGCCGCTAAATTCAAACAAGCGAAGTCTCAAAAACTACCCATAGTGAAACCTACACAAATCACTAGCCGGCTCCTGGGAAGATACCGCTGCCGGCAATATCGACGAAGAATACGACCGGCTTGTAGAATGTCTTCATGTTAGCGCTATGAAGGCGAGAGTCCATAAATCAGAAAGAAACTCTTGCATCCGCAGACACTTGAGCTGACACGTCAACGTGGAACCGCGCGAGCTACAGGCAGCTAAACCACACGTCTGAGCTTGCAAAAAGCGGCAAAGAAGCGAAGAAAGAAGACCTCAAAAGACAGAAGAGCAGCAGTTATGACAAAAGCTGCAGAAGCTGGGAAGAGCATTCGCAAAGCACAGCAAAGGTTCTCCAACCATAAGACCAAGACGTTTGCACTCCGACGCCTTGCCAGGACGCTTATAGATTTTAGAAGGGTAATAGAGAAGGCCATCCACCACTACTACTCGGATCTCTTGGCTAGCCATGTCCTCCTACCGTTATGTAGATTGGAAAAAGACAAATCTTTCGCTCTTACCGGCCATTCCATCAGAAATCCGACATGATATATTATCGGTGAAGTATAGAACAACATTGATCCAGCACGATTAGACCACAACACGTGAAAAATCTATCGCCAGTTCTCATAAACACCCTGGTTCGGATCTTTACTCGCTATCTTTCGAAATGCAAGGCTCTCAATCAATGGAAAGTCCACAAGACCGTGTTGTTGTCCAAAAGGGAGGCATTCACGACATAGGCAATTAACGCACCATCTGCTAGCTGTCCGTTATCCACAGCGGGTGATTGTAAAGAGCAGATATCATTCAATCACCTTAAACAAAGTGAAAAGATGAAGACTGATGGATGTCGCTCCCTTAGGGATTGAATAAACGCCGAAAGCTTCGATCTATTTATCCTTTTACCGGCAGAAGACCGTGGACGATGGTTGTCTATATTTGAAGAATACCTTTTCCTTTTCCTGTCAAATTGCGCTCAAAAATGATACTCTCAAAAACTTCTCAAAACTTTTTGCTCAATCCTAGAATTTGAGATGAAATTGTTTAACCTTGGATGTGTTCCACAGTAGGATATGAACGATTTAGAGTCAAATACAAAAACTACTCGAGGTGAGCAATAGCATAGTAGTCTACGGAAAAAGAGATCGAAGAAAAATTAGATAAAAACCCCATAAGCAAGTGAGGTTACAGAACTCAGATCATGACTGGGTGACTAGACATTGATTTTATAAGAGTAGTTCTGACTGCTCAAACTTGTGAATTCACTAATGGGCAATTTCATCTAAGCAGATCGCTGAGGCTAAACACATGCAAGGCTCCACTTATTACACAACATCCTAGTTATCGTCGGAGTACTACAAGAGCGAACTGAATAAAGTTATCATCAAGTGTGGGATTGAAGACTTATGAAACATATTCGTGTCTGGGCCAATCGACGTCTTAAAAGAGACAACGATGTTGATTGGGCACTAAAAAAAAACACGAAATCGACTATGAATAGAAGAGGAAGAAGCAAATGTAGGGGATATTGGTTGTATAGGCCACGCATATAAAACGAAATAAGAGAAAGAACAAGAGATGAAATCACTAAATTTTTTTCAAAATCAAACAATCTTAGTACGGCTCGAATTTTGTTGCCTTACTGTGAGGGTGTGAGATTTTCGTTTGCAGTGCAATACACATAAACATCAACAAAACAGTGAAGACACTATTAATATTGACCAAATCTTGTTTACTCAATGGTTTCAAGGCTGAACATAGGAGCTTATGGCATCAAAAAGTAGAAAATGTGTTATAGCCTAAAAGTGTGCATGATTCAAAAGGAAAAAACGGTTCCTTCCGGTCAGACGGTGACAAATAATGAAACGACCTCTTTCGCTGTAAAAAAAACATCTCATAAGAGTAGAAATCACTTGAAAGCTCAAATCTGTGGCTATTGAGCTAAATGTTTTTTTTTTCTAGACCCTTCTATAAAGCGGTAGCGCTGTGAAAAAATAGAGAATTGAAAAATAGAACTATGTTTACACCACCACGCACTTCTACTGTTGCTTTGCTGAAAGAACAAAAAACATATGAAGGTTTAGGGGAAATTGTGTGGCTTCAGAGTCATATTGGATGTTTCAAAAAAAAAAAAAAACACGGCCAGGTAGCGCTGCCAGAATTTTAAGTTCCAGAATAATTACTAAAAGTGCAATAAAAAATCTTTGTTAGATAAAAGTTCATTTTTCATTTGTCGAAGTCTGTCAAGAAGAAGCCAAAAAATCTATCTGCAAGCCCACTTTCCAAAACTCACAGAAAAATTTTTCTCTCTCCCAGAGTAAATTTAAAAGTCTTTTTACGAGCGAAATTTCTATTGTCCTACTGCCTTTTCGCGGCGTTATGATGTTCCATATATTCCTGAAATGATTTAGTAATGAGCAAAATACGACCTCAAACAGGGAGTCGAACCCGCGTTTCATCCGTACGGAGAGTGCGTGCTACCATTACACCACCGAGGCACATTTGCGCCGCCACTCATTCTTCGACATCTCTGTGCTAGCTGTCAGCCACTATCCTTTAAGAAGTTTGGTCGGATGGGCAATTTCGCTTTATAAACCCAGTTGGGCTGGCAATAATCGAAATTTCTATTGTTTTACCGAACTTTTCGCAGTGTTGTGATGTTTCATTTAGTCCTAGGAGAATGAGCGGTGAGCAAAAACACGGCTTCAGGCGAGAGTCGAACCCGTGTTTCACCCATACCGGGGACGAGTGCTACCACCACCCCATCGCATGCCCTATCAAACCTGTTAAAGTTTGTGGGGTGACAACCGACATAGAGTTGTTAAAGAATGAGTGGTACCACAAAAGTGCCTCGGTGGTGTAGTGGTAGCACGAGTCCTTGGTATGGATGAAACGAGGGTTCGACTACCGCGTGAGTCGTGTTCTTGCTCACTACTCGTTTTCATAATCACCATGAGAAAATCGTTAGCACACAAGAAACTTATTAAGCAAAAGAAAAAATTGGTTCCACTTGATTATAAGGAAGCAAAAAAATACCGATCTCATTCGCTGGAGAGAAACATTTTACGGTAGTGTTGGTAACCATACGAAAGCTGAGATCTAGGGCTACCGCCTCACTTTGCGGGTTTATCAAAACACCCTGTATAACGTTGTATGATCTGGATCAAAATTCGCTTCACACTCGCCTTTTGCCTTTATTTTGATCCCGCGTATAATTCTCTGGAAGCCGAAAAGCATATCAATGTGTAGAGAAATTCTCGTAGTATCTTAGTCAATCGGTATACCCATAGTTTCCTCTGAAGCGGAAAAAAAAATTCCCATTTGAATAGATATCATAGGTCGTCCCGCCTGGCCCCGCCCTGTCACGCCTCTGCCGCGGACTTCGTCTTATCGGATAGCCTGGATACAACGTTACCATAATGTAAAACTTGATCTTATTCTCCCTGTCAAACCGTATTTATAGAAAATAAGCACACCGTTAGGAACAGAAGACATTAGCTTACTAGATGATGACTGATATTCTAAAGAAAGAGCTCTGTCTGGCGAGGTTTAAAGCACAAATAAGAAGACCACAGGAGATTGAAAGGTCAAAAGAGCTTTCCTCAAAGCAAACGCAGTTTCGAGTTCCTTGAAGTTTCTGCTATAGTTTTAGTACTACCACTTTGAGGAAGGAGTTTTGTGCAGCGAAATATAAGCGAGATAAAAGGAAGAACACGTGATTTTATTAAACACGAACTCATTTTGAATTTTAAAAGGTCATAACGGGGTATCTCGAAAAACATAACGTGGAGGTATAGCCACAATTCTCAACTTTCGGTTGATTACTATCACTTTTATAAAAGCTCTTCTCTAGCAAATGAAATCAATTTTTTATTTATTTTCCTCATCAGAAGGAACTAAAAAAATTAAAAATTCCAACAATGAAGAGCGGTGTGCAAAAACATTTGCGTCAGCCGGGATTCGAACCCAGATCTCATGCTTTACGAGAGCGTGAGCAGAACCGTTGCACCATCGACGCTCGTTTTGCACACCGCTCTACATTATTTAGTTTATTGTAACATCATAGCATCGCAAAATGCGGTCAAATGATGTGAGTTCAAATTTAATAATTGATATCAATAAGAAAAACCAAGTACCTCAAGAACTGAAGACGACCGGTTCACTCGGCGTCGGCTCGCCGACAAATGATTGGTCGGCCGACGAGCATTCCGCGAATTGTGCAGATACACTGACTTGGAGCGTGCTTGACATGTTAGCGCGCCAAATTCAAATCTCAACGCCGTGTCACGAGGATATCGATTGATCAGATGGGCCCCGCTCTTTGCTCTTCACGTCATGTCGCCTCAGAGGAGCGATCCAAGTTCAAAAATCCTAACACTGTGACGTAGAACTCACATGTGGCTTAATGATTAGAGGTGCTCTGCGTCGCACACGGGGTCAATGGTTCGACCTGGCGCTCATGGCTCAGCAAGCCTAGCCTTCCATCCCTTCGGAGTCGATGAATTGGTACCAGACTCGTTTAGGAGGATAAGCAACAGTGACTCGGTGCAGGGTAGATCACCACGAATCATCGTGAAAGGTCAGATATGCATTCAATCACCTCAAATGACGTTAAAAATTCAAGACGAATTCATGGCGCATCTCTCAGGGAATGGCCCCGAGAGCTTTATCTTTATTCTTCATAACACTGTGGACAACGTCAATCAAATGTGTTGGAGGAAATTCTTGTGAGTCTATCACAATCAACTACTTACATGCATACGTGCACTGTAGTGGTTAGAGGTGCTCTGCAGTACATATTAGATCGTTCACAGATTCAACCCACGCCCTCGAAATCAGCAAACCATATTCTAGCATCATCATTGAAGCGAGTCCTCTCTTGAGAGAAGGAGACACATCTGATTCATTGGTAAAGCATTCCATGCTACTAATCAATCGAAACGTATTCGACTACCTCTACAATAATCAGTGAAGTCGAGTGCAAGGCAAGTCGAATGCATCTATGTTGGACGACGTTCCAGAAATCTAGCTCAACAAATGCGATGCTTTGTAATGCAAACAAGATGTTTTACCCAAACGCTGCTATATGGTACATCTGATGACAAAGAGGACAATATTCTGTTATTTGGCAAGCCATTGGGCAATACAATATCGCTGGTGCGGTCTGGGATGGATTTAAAGTGCCAGAACTGATTGTTGAGTAACGGAATGATCTGCAGTCGTTATTTGCAACAGAAGAATTGGCTTCGCCTTGTTATAGATCCGAGTGGAAAAATGAGTATCGAGAGCTCAATTTGTGCATGTTTTGTACAAAAGTCGTCCCTTTGGTAGCTCTTTTTGTCGTCATGTGTTGTAATGAAACCTTGAGTTTTTCCTTGTTACATGTTTTTGGGTTTCTTCTAACGTGTTAGTCTTTTTTTGCTACGGAGACGTTCGTGTTACACTTGAAATTGCAGGCATTGTTACAACTCAAACCTACTGACCACACATGCTTATCAAGTTTATTTTGCCAATTTCTGCGGGTTTGGGGACCGAGCGTCTTACATTTTATCTCTGCTATGACTCCACATTCAGTGTTAGCATGTCACAACCCTGCATGAAATCTGAATTACAGTGCACGATTGAATTTCATCTCAAAAAACCAATTGCATTTTCATTCTGCACTTAACTATTAGGTTAATAACTATTCATGCTGTATTTTTTAAGTCTTCTACTTCAATGACTATTGTTCCTGGATTACCTCTGTGAGTGAGATCTTAGAGGATATGAAATGACTAAAACAACCAATTAGAAAGTTTAGTGTTGTGGAGATCGGTCCTCATTTCATTATATCAACGTTTCGCAAATTTCAGAAAATCAGCCATCATTATGTTAGATAGGAGGCTGTGTCCAAGTAGCTGTGACGTTTGTCGCAGCGTGTGGGGTCTAGCCTCATCTCCCGACAGTCTCCGGCAGTCAACAACGATTGTCTTATGAAACGTCACAATCAAGCTATCCTCGACATTGCCAAGATGGCGGGCTCATCCAGTATTCTATGACGCTGAAGAAGACATAAAGCGACTGAATGCTAGAAGTGCTGAGATTGGTACAGTGAAAAAAACCACTATGAAGACGGACAATAAAGTGCCGAATGTTTGATAGTTAATAAGACAGACGTTGAGATTGTGATAATTTCGAGTGATCATAAGAGGTATTTTTTCTCCGAAGAATTGATTGATTGAGTTGCCAAGCTGTTGATAAGAAAAGGCCAGAGAGGTAAATAGTAATGACATATCCTATTTCCTGAAGCTGCTTTTAATATTGATCATTTGTTAGGCATCGTAAGGTGGCCAAATGCACATTTAAATTGCAGTGGGTGCGCGTAGCGCAGTGACTAGACATTTCCTAAAACAATTTTCCGTAATCAGTATGAGATCCATTACTCCCTTACTGATTTTGTAATCGAACTGTACTCATTTCTGTCTTAAATGCTGAGGTTTCGAACAACTATCAAGAATGCTTAAAAATATAAATAGAGTTAGCTAGTCTTAAGTCGATTTTTTTATAAGTCAAGTTGATAAGTACAGAATAAAGTTCATTTTGCGTTGATGAGGAGGGTGCTATTCGTTTGGTTTTATTGAGCATCGTTTACTTTAATGAATGCCCGGACCTATACAATAACTTGCTTCTTCCTTGATGTTCTAGTGCGCGAGTGTTTTTCATCTTCTCAAATGAGTCTAATAGCAGTGTGGCCAATGGAGGGCGAAAGAGGAATCGCGGAGTGGTTAGCAACAAAGGCCATTGAAAAGCAAAATTCTGCTTTGACACTCCTCCATAACGTTTCTTGCAGCTTGAGAACATCTTAGCTTGGGACCTCTCTTAGACTGTAAGGAAAATCAAATCGACCAACACTCTAAGAGATATGAGAAATTTCATACGAAGCAGCCGAAACAGCATACAAAATGTTTGAGGACTCTTAGATCGGATTGAAGAAGTACTGGATAATCCACGCAGCACATGTAATGACGGGACATGTAAGTATTTTAGTAAATAATTATCATAACTCTGAATTATAGTGAAGCTTCATTAGCGCAAAGGGAACGAACGAAGCGGCGATCGCACGTATAGCAAGACACCTTTAGCCATTCCGCTACACTTCTTTCTCCTATTTGGTCAAGTTTGTATCTTACGAAAAATTTTTTGTAATGTATCTATATGTTTAGAAGCTAATTAGATAAGAGCGCCATGCTTTGCTGATTTTCACAAGTTCACCATCGTCATCAAATACAGAGTGATTGAGATGCATAAAATGTATTTTTGATAGGCAGACATGACGTCTTTGACATATTGCTTGCACCCCAAGCCCAACTTTTCAGTGGACCATACCTCTTCAAGTGTTCAAAAATATGAAATCAAATATCAAAAAATCAGTCTACTCAGTCAACAGCTCTAGTAATGTTAAGAGAAAACTCCAAAAATTCAGATTTCAATCAGCCGACAAACATTTTTTTCAAAATGCTCACTATTGTATACTTTACACTTATTGACGGACACCAGTCACATAGAACTCAAATTTACCATGAGTCTCAAAGGTGTCAAGGTGGTGAAAAGTGATTGAATCACATGTGTTGATACACTTGACACAAGCCATGTAATCCTTAATTACTTGATTCTGTTAAAAAACTGTTCTATGTTCTTCTTTTTTTCCAACTCTAAGAAGTGATATCTATTGACACTGGCAGGTTCTGAATGAGCGTACGATCTGCTATACTGCAGATGAATCAGGATTTCGTGCAGTGAAGAATTTTCAGATGTTTGCAGTATACATCAAATTAATCATTGGCCCAATTTCACTACTCGGATTTATCTTATCGTCCATTCCTTCTGCACTGATTAAGTACATTGGCAAGACAATTATAGTTCAGTGTATAAATTGCCCA